AGTTGAATAATTTAATTGTATCATCCTATCAATGAACATATCTGTTTTTGAACAATGGATCGAATGGCCACAAAGCTGCAAGTTCAAATAAAATATATCATAGAAGCAGCTAAAATGTAGTGATACTGACGAAAGTTGCTCATAAATTAGATTATGAAGTACAACTCCAAAATTTTTTTTCAATAAGCAAAATTTTGATTAAATTATGAGAATTTGCTTCAAATATTGAATTTAATGGATTAATATATGCTGCATTTAGTACAAGAAAAAATAAGATACTTTTTAAAACAGCTGAAGCATATATTCATTAATAACGGAAAATATTGTGTTATTGGACAAAATATATTCGAGCATCTGAAGGAACAAAATTTGTTGATGGAAATAAACACATATTTTTGTCATATTGTGTTCACTCTTTATAAACAAGACATGATAAGTGGAAGACAAAATATTATTAATTGACAGAGCAAACAACTAAATAATGAAATGGGAACATTAGTAGATTATCAGTCTCATCTAATTTTAATCTTCACATATAATTTAAAAAGCAGTTCTAATAAATATCTAACAAGAACAAACTATAAAATCTTAAGTTGGATTTTCACATATATTATGTCGATGCAGATTTTCATCTAATGGACTCTCCTCATTCATAATGCTATTTTTAAATTTGTTTTTAAGTTCAAAATATGAATATACTTCCTGCTAATTAACATACAAATGTGAAGAGAGAAATAACTAATACCATTAAATTGCTTAAAGTAAACATGATTCACCAACATAAATTAATATATTTATCTAATTTTATTTAACTGTTATAAACAGGATGAATAACAAGTTGATCAATCTATTAGCCCATATTAAACAATGTCATTATTTGCCTTAATACAATTTATAGTTTCTTCATGTTAATTAATTAATATTGACTCATAGATATAACAATCAATTTGGAGATATGCATATTGTGAAGTTTCTATCATAAAAAGATTACTAATTTTCTTTGAATTGTATTACTGAGCTATGAAAGTTATGCAATAGATGGCTGGAAATTTAGATAATTGTCATAGGCATCATTTACAAGGATTAAAGGTTGAAGACCTTAAACTTATTCATGAAAGAAACAAATAAGTGTAGCAAATAAATTTTTAGTCAGAATATCTTTTACCTTCTTTCTTATTATGAGTTTTTGCAAGAGCGGACAGGTTTAAAAGAATAATCATATACGTAGCTTGATCTAACTTTTTTGCAATAGTAATAGCTTTAATTATACACATAGAAAGTAAGCATAATGATGTTTAAGCCATATTATTAGGAGTTTAATTAAAAAGATAAAGCAGCATATGGACATCTTGCAAAATAATACTTACTATTTTCTGATTGATAATTAAGAAGACAAACTAAATAATTGTAAGAAAAAAAAGAGAGTGCCATATAAATTATTGTTGTTAGGAAAGGAGTATCAAGAAGTTTAGCATGAAGAACATAAGATTTTGAGAGGTCTCATAATTATCTTCATGTTTATCATTAATTATTACACTTTATTCCATAAATCAATGATGGAGTGGTTGGTATCTATGATTTTTCAAGCGTTCTGAATAATAACTTTGTTATCCAATCTTTCGACTTTTATTTTGATACAATTGATTAGAGTTTGTATGCATCTACAGAATAGAATAATTCATGTACAACTTACAGAAAGGTGCCTTTGTGGCTGGTACAAATAGAGATTCAATAATTTTAGTAATAATAGCTGCAAAGAATACAACACATATGAATTTCTATTGAAGAAACTAGTTTTACTAATCAGAGATACAATGTATGCTTTCAAAAGTCAATAGGAGAGAGGTTTATACGAAAATATTAGGCATCCGCAATTCTTTTCCATATGCTCAAAATTTTATTTGGTTTCTAAAATGCTCTATATAAAGTTAGTGCTGTACCTATCTAGGATTAAGTACTCTAAATTCAAATTAAAAGATTTCAGTAAGCTAACATTTAATTTTAACTCAAAGAATTTTTCTAATACGCTGAAAAATTTATATAGGTGTATGCAATATTATCAACGTATAACTGAAGGTAGCAATTAATTTATTGTAGTTGGTTTCTTTGTAAATAATATACTTCACTTATCTACCTTACTTTAACTCAAAATTACACTTGATATTTTCCAAATCTCTGAAAATTTTATGTAGTTTTTAAAATAAAATGAAATTATAAAGTTAGTGCAGCAACTGGTTATGATCACTTTCTAAATTCAAATAAAATTATTTCAATACACTAGCTTTAACTTAATTCACAAAATCCAGATAAGATTTTTCATATGTCGGATAATTATATGCGCCTTTTAAAATAGTTTTGAAATATAAAATTAGCACACACACCGGCCCCAACTTGCTTGTTAAATTCAATAAAATAATTTCAGCACGCTAACTTTCAATTTCAACTCTAATATTATTCCTCTTATGATCAAATTTTATTTAAGGTTATTAATTACTATATAGGTGAAAACTGAAAACAGTAAATAGATTTTTTCAACAGTTTTAATTAAATTATTTATATTTTAATCATCTAACTATTAATTTTAACTCAAAATAACCCTATCATATTTTTCACATGTCTTAAAATTTGTGTGGCTTTGAAAATACTTTTTAAATATAAATTACTTCAGTTGCTAGCTAAAATCTGCATTCTGAAGAGAAATAAAAGATTTCAGTATGCTAACTATAATTAAATTTCCTTTTACTTAAATTTTAACATACTTATGAAATACAATATAGCTGAAAATATAAAGTATTAAATATATTATTTCAGCTGTTTAAACTCAAAAATTATATTTCAATCATCTATCATTGAATTTAGTTTAAAAATACTCTATGATATATTTCATATGTCTTAAAATTTTATGCACTTTCTATGCACTGTTTAATTAGTGCAGCATTTAGTATTAATGAGCATTCTAAATTAAATACAAAGATTTTAGTTTCCTAACTTTAAATTTTAACTCCAATATTTTTACCGATCTTACTGAAAATTGTAAAAGGGGTAAAACATACTATCGAGGTGAAAACTAAAGAAGAGTAAAAAAAGTTATAACAGAATTTTATATTTCAGTACGCTAACTTAAATCTTTAATTAATAAAATCCTTATAAAATATAAAGTTATTACAGCAATTAGCTGAAAAATATACTATGATATATTTTATATGTCTAAATTTTTATTTGCATATAAATACTGTTTAAATATAAAGTTGTTTAGCCTCTATCCTTAATTAGCCTTCTAAATTCAGAGAAAAAGATTTCAGCACTCTAACTTTTTATTTTAGCACCTATATTTTTTCCACTTTTTTCTACTATCTTGGCTGAAGGCAGTAATTACTATAAAACAGCTTTCTAAACTCAATTAATTAAATTTTAATCATCCTACTTTTAATTTAAACTCATAAGTTCTATATGATATTTTCCCTATGTTTGAAAATTTTAAGAGTCTAGAAAAATACATTTTATATAAAACATTAGCACAGCAACCACCTATAATCAGCACTCTGAATTAAATACAAAAAAATTGAGTACGCTAACTTTTAAATTTGAATTCTCGTATTTATAAATTTACTATAAACGTATAAGATACAATTGAGGTGAAAATTGAAGGTAGTAAACATTTTATTTAAGCCGTTTTAACTCCACGCTATTCTTCAGAGTTGGATTACAGAAACATTACAACCACTCCTATTGAATATATACTACAATTAAAAAATGTAGCCTGAGCAGAGTCTCCTCGATTCACATCCTCCAGTTTTAGCAAAAGTACATTATTAGAAATAAGACGGACATTCATTATCAGTATTATAACTTGCATTTAGAGCAGCAACATCACATGTCCTTTTGGAAATATTAAGAATTAAGTATTCCACATTCACCTTCCGTAGCTATAAGGCATGAACTCTAACTATTGTCTAAAAATTTTACAAAATAGTTGTAGATGCATTATTAGCACTATTAACAGTGCAAGTGTTAAACTAATTATTGCAATTCTAGTAAGTGAATGCAAATTCTGAAGGCAGAAAGCAAATTTTGTTGTGCATTGACTATATTTTAGTAGTAAATCCTGACTTGAAAGCTTTCTAATAATCATCTCTATAATTTCCGATTCCTATTTATACTGCTTCATGTGTCTGGGCAGTTTAAACTGAAATACAGCTAAAATCTATTCTATTACTTTGCAACACATCTACTATTTGTTGAGCGATAACAAATTAGTGATTTTAGTATAGCTAGTATATATTCTCACTACTTGCTTTGTTGTATGATTATCTTAATTCATAAGCACTAAATAATCCTGTTACCTTAGAACAATCTTTTGTAGGATTTGTAATAGTAATGCTAGCTGTATTATTACAGTAGAGCCAGAAATTATTATAGATTGATATTCATTTATCATGTAACTCACTTAATACACTTTCTAACAATTACTAAGTATAAATAATATTTTCCTGTTGATGATTGTGTGCATCGATCTGCAATTCCAGGATATTTTTCTCATGAATTTTTATACTCTTAGCATGCAGTACCACCTCCAATTGTAGCTTATCCATTAAAGTGAGCTTAAAATCCT